TTTTAGTTACTCGACAGAGACATTTCCCGGAGCCATCCCCAATCCGTCCACCATATGAAAGAGGCCAGCACAGATTTATGGCTCTCACCTCTGTCTCCCTTCTGCTTTCCATGGCCACGCCTCCCAACCTCCTGCCTTGGCTCCTACTTCACTGAGGCTTCAGGCCTGATCTTCCTCATCTGCCCTGGCCCCGCTCTCGGCCCCCCCCCACCTGGAAGCAGGAAGTGCCGTCTCTCCTCCGTCTCTGGTCAGTGCCCTGTCTCTCTAGCACACTGCTACCGCCTCTCCTTCACATGGCTTTAGGCTTTAGGTCCTCCTCCAAAAACAAAAACTCAAAGCCTCCACCTCTGCTTCCTGCCCAGCTGCCACCCAAGTGTGCCCCCTTTGCCAGCGACCCTGGAAAAGGCCACCCACACCGTGTCCACATGCACCCCTGCTCCTGCCTTCACCTCTCCCGGGAACCACCCTCAGTCCCCAGCTGCTGACCCTGATGATTCAGTCCTGATGCTCCAGGCCTGCCAACCTTCTCCCCTTCTCTGATCAGTTTTTCTCTGACTCTGTCCTGGGCTCCATCCCCTGTGGGGTTTCCTGCTGCCTCCTTGTGAACCACATTCCCTCCCTGGGGCTGGTCCCCTCTTACCCCAAAGATAGAGCAAAACCCCACAAATTCTCTCTCTCCCTTATCCCACATAGACACAGTCAGTAGCTTGCTTCTTTCCCCCTAAATGTTCTTGAGCCCTCCACACCCACCCAGCTCAGACCCTCATCTCTCCTTGTCATCGGGACTCTCAGAAGAGGCCCCAGCTGCTCTCCCTGCCTCACTCTTCTCCAAAGAGTCACCAGGGCGAGCTCTGAGAAACCAAGCTGACTCAGTCCCCTGCCTAAACCCTCCCAACACACCCCTCTGCTGGCAGCACAGAAGCCAAACTCTGTGACAAAGACCTGAGGGACAGGTCTCCCTGTCTACCTCTCCAGCCATGGGCTCTCTTGACCTTTCCGCCTGGGTACTATGGGACCGATGTGTCTCCCTCCCTCCCCAACTCCATGCTACCTCGGGCCTCGCTGACTGAGCGTTTTAGTCCTCATGGCCTTTGAGGGGCCGCCATGTTCATCTCCATCTTACTCATGAGGACACTGAGGCAGAGAGACAGGAGGTGACTGGGCCAGCCCCAGCATCACGTCCCACGTGCCCTACATCCGACGTTGCCTCCAGTGTGGGTAAGTGACTTTGTTGCCCCTCCTGCACCCCATCCACTCCCCACTCAGCACACACTCTTCCCCAGTCCCACCGTCCTTGAAGGCCAGCCAGGGTTTGGATGCTCTTCCTGCCCAGGCGTCCAACCTCACCTGCTTCAGCGGACCACCCTGTGCTTCCCACTGGGGGAGTCAGGCAGGCTTCTCGGAGGGCCCCTGAAGGACGGAGGAAATTCCACGGCCAAGGAATCCAGGCTGGCAGAGGCAGAGAGGTCAGAAATCAGCCTGTATTGTGAGTTCAGCTGAGCCTCCCAGCCCCACCAGCAGGAGGGTGGTGGGGCTTCTGCCTGAGGCCCCGGGGCACTCCCCCACCCCGCCCCCCGACAGCGGCTGCTTGTGGTGGGTGTGCCAAAAGGATCTGTGGGAAGCGGAGCTCATGGGGTGTGAAGTCATATACAATTTGGTGGCCCTGTTTAGGAAAAAGAATGGAAGATTCCTACTACAAATGTAGGCATAAAAGTGAATCTTTGCGATGAGAATACAAAGGAGCGGTGCCAACAGGGTGGTGGCTACCGCCTCTGGTCAGAAGGCCATAAGGGGGGTGGGGGGCTCAGGGAGCGCTGGGGCATGAGGCTGAGCCTCTTCTGTCAGTCCCCGACACCCAGGTTCAGAGCCCGTCTCCGAGCCCTCCATCACCCTCCCAGACAAGCTGCCATGACCGTGAATCTGTCTCACTTTGTGGGTCTCTCCGGTGGCAAAAAGGCCCGATTCTCCCAGCTCAGGAGACTCCCTCCCCCTGGGAGGGTAGCCAGAGGGCGAATGTGGGTGTCTGAGAACTGTTTGCTGGTCACCTCCTGGTGACCTTGGGCACTCTTCTCCTGGGCCTCAGGGGTGATGGTGGGGCTGTTCTGAAAGCTCTTTTTCATTCTGGCATTCTGCTCATCTGACCCGCCTAGGAAGCTCTCCCAGGGGGCAGAGAGCGAGCTCTGAGAGCCTCATTCATTCCCCAGTGTTGAGGTCTTCCAGGGGCCTGCTCTGCACTCTGCTGGCTGCTGGTGGGTGGGGGCACGCTGCCATGGAGGTGCTCCCAGCCCAGTGGGGCCAACTAGACATGAAATATGTAATGAGCACGCCTTCCAGCCAAGAGATCTCATACCAGAGGCAGACTCCCTGGGGGGAGTTCAGGAAGCCTTCTCAGCAAGGAGACACTTGATTTGAGAGATGGGACATTCATTCAACAGTTACTTCCTGAGTACCTACTATGTGGCAGGCTCTGTGCTAGGCTCTAAGGATATAGCAGGAAAGAGGGCAGATGGGCATTTGCCCTAAAGTTCCTTCTCTTCAGTCCAGCAGGGAAGTAGAAATTGCTCAGGAGAGAAAAGGAATATGGGGTCCCAGGCAAGGAGAACAGTAAGAGCAACCCCACGCAAAGGACAGACTGCAACCTGCTTGTGCACAGAGCTGAGAGAAGTTTAGTACAAGGGGAGAGGGAAGTGATTGGGAGATGAGGCTGGTGAGGCTGGCGGAGAGCAATAATGGAGGGCTTCTAACACCAGACTAGGGATTTAGGACTTGATCATGCTGGCAACTGGGAGCCACAGAGGATTCTGAGCAGAGGAAGAAGTCAAAGTTTTCTTTGCAAAATAGCCTCCTTCCAGTCCTACCACAGCCACCGGTGTGAGCTTCCTGGGACCAACCTCCGCACCCCAACCCCTGGACTTGGCCAAGAGAGGGCGCCCCCTCCCCCGAGCCTGGACCTCTGCCTCCAGCTCACTCTCCTCCTTGTTCTTCCAACCAGACTCTATGGCTGGTGCACTCTCAAGAGGGGATGAGGCAGAGCCTCTGGGCCCAGACCTCATTGAGGACTCCAACCCTTCACTGTGTAGGCCCCAGAGCATTTGCCTCCTGTGGGCTGTAAGTGTTTTCATGCTAACTGGTTTCCCTACAAAGTCTTTCCCATATCAATGCCTGGCTTAAAAACTTCCAGGGCACCCCTCTGACAACCAGTGAGTCCAGGCTGGGGCCTCAGAATAACCCTGCTGGGTTTGGGATCATGAGCGAGACCCCAAGAGAGTTCTTGGCCCTTAGAAGAAAGTCTGAACTCCCTCCTGTCTGGCCCCACCAGACTCTTCTCTTCCCATCAGGTCTGCTGTTCCTTCCCTGGGAGCTCTAGCCACCCTGAACTCTGGGTTCTTCAACGAGGAATGCTCTCCCTCACCTCCAGGGTTTTGCCCAGGCTGGCTTCTCTGCCCAGAGCACTGTCCATTTCCTGAGGTTCCCCCCACAACCTAGCTAACCCCTCCTTCTGGCCTGAGCCTGCCTGTTACTCCCTCCTGGAAGCCTCTCCTAGTCCTCCGGAATAGGCCAGGAATCCTCCAGAATAGGCCAGGGATCCCCAGGAGTGACTCCTGCCTTTGCATATGCTGTCTCCTCTGCTGGGAATAACCTTCCCTCCACCTTTTGAAGTCTGGTGCCTGCCCAGTCCCTGCCAAGTAGCAGCATCTTTATATCCCTTTTACAGATGAGGAACCAGAGGCTCAGAAAGGTCGAGTAACCCGGTCAAAGCCACACAGCTCCACCCTAGAAAGTGATAGTGATGAGTGGATAGAATCCTGTGCCTGGCATATGGTCTTGGGAACATCACTTGGCCTCTCTGTGCTTTGGTGTCCTCCTCAGTGAAATGGGGTACCTACTGTGTAAGGTTGATGTGAGGCTTACAGAAAAGCTGTACTGTGCAGCCTCCATTCCTTTGCTCCCCAGACCAATTAGTGGCTTTCACATGGCCCCAGCGGCACATCAACACTCATTCATTCATACATCAAAAATCTCCAACGCCTGCCCTGTGCCCTGCCCTGTACAGTCGGCTGGGGACTCTTGGAGATTATCAGACACAGCTCCTGCCCCAGGGCGCTGGGGGAGGGAAAGGGGAGGGGAGGAGAAGGGAGGGGAAGGGCTGGAGCAGACGGCAGATACGTCATTATTCAAGAGGAGTGTGTACGTGTATGTGTGTGCTATCTTCACACACTGCTTTTGACTTCGTATTTCTAAAAACTGACATCGACTCTCCCGCGGATGGGCGCTGGGAAGGGGGAAATGTTGAAGAAAGATCCGCTCTTAAAAAAAGAAAGTAAAGTCCGCTCTTTATTTTCCAAAAACTTGTTTTTCACCGCTTCCAGAAATCTGAGTATTTCACAGCTTCCAACGTTCACCTCCGCGCGCTGAGCCCTAGAAGCTGGGGAGGCGGGGACAGTACTACGAGGGCGCTGTCCCACCACCCCGGAGAGCTCCCCTATCCCTTGGAGACTCCACTACCCACGAATAACCCCACCTCACCTCCATCCTGTTTCTTTTCCTACCCCAACCCCTGTTCTTATCTCCTGACTCCCCACTCCCCAACGCACGGTAGCTCCCACGCCCCCATCCCACACAAACCAGCTGTCATAGCCTCTCCCACCATCCGGGTCCCCAGGTGACCCTGTACCCTGTTCCACTCTTTACAAACCCCCACCCCTCCATTGTCCTCTCCCCAGCCGCAACCTCTTCCCTGTCGGCCCCGCCCTCCCCGGGCTAGAGTACACGTTCCGCAGAGCGCCGCTCTTTTCCCGCTCTCCCATTGGCTCCTGCTTGCCCGACTCGCGGGGTCGAAGGAGGGGATCTGGGGCGTGCCCGCCCCCTGCCCGTGGCCCGGGCGAGGGCGGGGCGCCGGCTGACCCCGCCCCTTTCGGTCGGGGCCGCGCCGGCGGGCGCTCAGGCGCTGGGCGGCGCTGCCTCGGCTGGGCTCGGCTCCGGCTGCCGCTCCTGTGGGGGTGGGCCGCAGGGATGACAGCAGCGGGGGTGGCAGCGGCTGCCGCGCGGGGCTGAGCGAGCCGCGAGCGAGCCGCGGGGAAGAGGAGGAAGTGGAGCCGCGGCCCGGAGCTCCGGAGTCAGCCGCCGCGCCGAAGTCCGCCCCATTTTGCAGAGCGAGCCGAGTCCGGACCTGGGAAGACTTCCCCGCCGGGCTCCGGCCGCCGCGGCTGCGAGCGTCCCTGCCTGCGCCTTGCCCTGCCCCGCCTGTCCCAGCCAGGGGTTCTGCGCCGGGACGCTCCCAGCCCCGCGATCCCGGGCGTTGTGGCGGGGACGCCCTGAGCCCCCGACCCAATCGGGGCGGGACGCTCCTGGCCCACCATACGGGTCCATGGTTGCGGGCTTGGTCCCAGCCTTTCTATAGTGTGTGTCGGAGCCCTCCGCCTGAGACCCAGCTTAAGGCAGGTGCCCAGCAGCCCCCCGACTGAGTGCAAAGGAGCGCAGAAGCCCCCAGGCTCGGGCTCCCGAGACCTGAAGCTTCAGCTGCCTTCGCCGGGTGTTTCGGACTTGGGACCGTGCGAACGCCCAGGAAGCCCCGGCCCGGGTCCAGCGCCCCGTGAGGAGTCCCAGGCGGGCTGGGCAGTCGGACTGAGCCGGACCGAGCTGGTGCTGCGAGCCGAAGCTGCCACCTTTTCTGCCGCCTCAGGCGAGGGGCTCAGCGCTTGCCCCGAAGAAGGGAGCACAGGGCTCCCCCCCTGGCCCGGCGGCCGGCCAGAGCCGAGGGCTGCAGGTGAGAGAGCCCCGGATGCCCGGCAAGGGCGGCCTTCGACCCCAGCGGGGCAGCGCCGGGGCCAGCCGCGGGCGTGTACCGGTCACTAGCTCGGGCTGGAGCTGGGTAGGAGAGGGGGCGGGAAAGGGCGGGGGAAGGGAGAAAACCGGCACTTATTGAGCGCCCATTGTGTGCGGGTCCGCGCCCCACCCTTGCGCAAATGGTCCCTCCTGTACCGCTAGCTACAACTCCGTGACATAAAAAGGTGTTGTGTATTGTTACGGGTTCTTACAGATGGGGAAGCTGAGGCTCAGCGGGGTTGAGTGACCCTGCTCTTTCACTCTGGGGTTGAGAATGGGTGGGAGGGTTAGGGTGGAGAGGGAAAGAAGCAGAGAAGGGAGAGAGAAAGGAAGTGGATAGCCGCCAGGCAGGAGGTGATGGGGAGGGGTCAAGGTGGGGCCACTGGGGCATCCAGAGCTGATCCCTGAGGCCCAGGAGGTGGCTTCCTCTGGCCTCCTTCCCTCCCACTCCATGGCCAAGTCACGTCCCAGGAAAGGTGACCCAGAGTTGTGGGCAGAAGTGAGAAGCTTCCCAGTTCCTCGGCTTCCCTCCTTGTGGGCCTGAGACCAGGGAGCCTTGGCCCCTTGCCCCTGTGTGCCAGTCTCTGGGGTCCCTAAGACACCATGGCATCCTGAGATGCTGCTTACATGTTGGGAAAACTCACTCTAGAGGTCCCCAAGTCAGAGCCCATCAGAGCTGGGGAGGTGAGGCCTCTCAGCACTCACCTGCCCCCATCCTTCACATTATCCATGGGCCATGGGAGGCTGGGGGGTGGGGGGTGCCAATTGCCCTGGGGCCTAAAGTAAGTAAGTGGTTGAGCCAGAGGTATGCTTTCGAAAACCTTCCCAAACGTCCTTCAACGTATCTACTCCCAGTTAGCATCTTCTGGGTGGGTGGCTGGGGCTTTCCCACCCCTGATGTGAGGTCAGGGTGACCACTTCTGAGGCTGCTTTGAGAGTCTGTGTGGTTGTTGCTGGGGCCCAAGGCAAGCCAGCAGCCCTGTTGCCTTTGGCCCAGACTGAAGGTCCGACCTCAGCTTCTCCTGGGCAGGGGAACCTGCCAGACACCTCTGGCCCCGGAGGGGAGGGGCTTGCTCAAGGTCTCAAGGCTGGGGCTGCAGGTCTGGGGGCACAGTCCTGTGAGTCTGGATTCCGAGGCAGGGGCTCCTTCTGTTGCCCCCCTGGGGCCATGCAAAAAGAGGGGTGTTGTGAAAGATAGGTTGGCATGAACTCTGTGGGCTCTTGTTCTGAGGTGGGAGGGGGAGGGGATGTGGCCTTGGTCTGAGCCCCATGGCCTTGGCTGGGACTAGTTAATCCCTGCTGTGCCCAGCTTCCTGGAGTCTAGGGGAAACAACCTTGGAAAGCCCCTGGGAGGTAGAGGAAGGTAGAGAGGTCAGCTGAAGGCTGGAAACTCAGTTGCAGGGGCTGGAGGGGTTGGGGGCACCAGAAGAGAAGGTAACTGAGGGGCTTGGCATTCCCCCCACTCCCATCGGTGAGGATTCAAATTCTCATAATAATCCCTGCATCTAAACAAAGATCCTCTTTGGTGAGATAATTTCACACCTGTGATCTCATTTCATGGTGTGGTGGAAAGAACCTGGAACCTGGAGCGAGGCAGAATGAGGGTTGGGGAGGCACCCGGGACCTCTCCGATGCATCCATGGCTCCAAGCCTCACCTGTAAAATGGGGTCAAGGCACGCTGTGTGTTACCTGCTCAGATAATGGGGCCATCACACCTGGCAAACTGTCAAGTACTCTAGAGATTTTCATGTCTGCCAAGAATGGGCTTGTTACTAATGGCTACCACGTGTGGGAAACTGAGGCTCAGAGCGATGAAGCCACGTACCCAGGGCCTTTGAGTTTGGTTCAGAAACTTAGTCGACTCATGCCAGGTGCTCTGGAAGTTACCCAGATGGAAAAGGCAGTGGGGCGACTAGCTCCCAACTGGGTGGGCTAAACAGTGCAGACAGACCGCGCGAAGTCAGACAGACCAGGTGGGCGTGAATCTGCTCCGCTTCCCACTCACCATGTGGCGCTGGGCAGAGCACTTCACTCCTCAAAGCCCTGGCTTCTCTGTAAATTAGAATTTCTCCTTTACAAGGTTGTTATGAGGATGAAATGAGATATAAATATATAGTGCTTGGCCAAATACCTATTTCCTTCCCTATAAAGGAAGGAAGCTTGAGTTTTGACCAGGAAATTTTCAGGCTTGCCTTAGATTAGAAAGCTCAGTTGCAGGCTCACAGACTTGGGTTTGCTCAGCTGGGAGTCCTGGGTCACGCTCCCCTGGCTGCTTCCCTGTTCCACAGCCCTCTAGAATCTGCTTGGGGACCCTGGTAAGGGGCTCTAGATTCTGACCCCCTCACCCCAGGGCTGTTGGCTTCTGGGGTTGGGGGGAGCTAGTGCTCCTTCCCTCTGTGGCCCATTGTCTGGCCTCCGTAGGCACAAAGGTACAGTGAATAATTTATGGCTCCCCTCATGAACTGGGAGGCAGGCTTGGGGGAAATTGCTCTGTGCTCAGCTGAGCTTCTGAACCCCGCCAGAGCAGGTGGGTGGGTCCTATCAGTGGTGTAAGAAGTCTCGGATATGGGGGGAGGGGGACAAGACAGGAAAAAAGTGACCTATTATCAACCCTGGTTCTTTTCCTGTTGGGGGTGGGGGCAAGGTAGACCCACAGGAAACAATGGAAACCAAGCTAGATGAGCGAGGATCAAGCTGCGGGCCTCTGATTCCAAATGGGTGGTGGAGGCTGGCAGGGAGAGGCTCTTGAGGACTGGAGTAACCCAGAAGGCTTCATCGAGGAGGAAGGTGTCTGGCCTGGGACAAGAGGCGATTTGCTAGAGAGAGTGGGCGTCCCGACATTGGTTCAAGGTGGAATCCTGGCTATGCCACTTCCTGTGTGAGACGGTGAGCAAGACACTGACCCTGCCAGAGCTGTTTCCTCCTCTGTAAAATAAGTGTAGTTATGGGTCATATATGTAAAGCACATGGCATGATGGGTACTTGGTGAAAGGGTGCTTCACTGTGAACATGAAACATGGGGTGGGCTAGTAACAGGGGAAATGAGATGGTGTAGTAAGCAGAGGGGCGCGGAGCACTCTGGGGTAGTCATACTGGGGTTTGTGGGCTCAAACTGGGGTTTGTGGGTTTGTGGGTTTGAGGGGTGTGGAGAAGAGGGGTGGGTGGCCAGGGCCTTGAATGTCAGACGGAATTCACATTTCGGAAAGCGTTATGGAGTCCCCATCTTCATCTTGCAAGATGAAGACCAGGCCCCTTTGTTGTGCATTCAAGGCCTTGCCCAGCACAGCCACTGCATGGGCCTCTGGCTTATTGCTCATCCCCATCTCCTAGCCCTATCCCGTGGAGCCCCATCGCTATCCCTTTGCTGCTGCTTTCCTGACCTCCCTGTCTCTCTAGGCCCAACTTGGGTCATAGTTTCCCCCAGAAACATCCCTGGATTATCTAACCCTCTGGTCACATCTCTGAATTTTTAACACTCCACGGGAATAGTAATAAATAATACCTACCCTTGCATCACATTTTACAGTCAGCAGAATATCTCCATACTCATTCATAACACTATGCTGATGATATTAACAGTAGCTAATGCCCTTGAGTACTCACTATGAGCCACTGTGCTAAGCACTTTATAAGGATTTTATTTATTTGTCAGAGGGAGAGCGCGTGAGAGAGCACAAGCAAGGGGAGTGGCAGGCAGAGGGAGAAGCAGGCTTCCTGCTGGGTAGAGAGACTGATGCAGGACTTGATCCCAGGACCTGAGCCAAAGGCAGACGCTTAACCGACCGAGCCACCCAGGCGCCCCTGTGCTAAGCACTATATAGACACTCTCATTCACAACTCTGGGAGGTAGCAGTGTTATCACCCAGAAACTGGGCTCAGAGAGGGACATTGTCTTGTTCAAGGTCACGCAGCTAGACAAGCTCCTATCTGCCACTGAATAGATGTCCTGTCTCCTCAACTTTACCCGAGTACCTCGAGAGCATACTTCGCGTGTAAAACGGCTGGAAATGAGTCTTCTTCTCAAGGCTAGGGAAAGACCAGGTGTCCAGGCCCCGGCTGTGTGACTGGGGGTGAACCAGGCCCCCTCTGTGGTCCTGTTTGCCCATGTCTGTGGTGAGTGGGGTGGTGTCTGAGCCCCCAGAGCTGCAGCCTTCTGCAGTGTCCTCTGTGACTCTGGAAGGTAGAGGAGGAGATGACAGCAATCCGGCCAGAGGATGTGTGGTGTGACAGGCAGCTGTGATTTTTGGCCTGGCCACTGTCGGGGCCAGCAGGCTCTGTAGTTAGCTGCTGCCTTCCCTGAGGGAGGGCGGCCGCCTGGGCTGCCGGCAGCACAGTCATTAGCCGGCCTGACAAGACCCTGTGATTGGGAGCCAATGGGGTCAGGCCAGGTTGGCAGGGCCACAGTGGGGTCATCGGCAGGGCAGCTGGCCGGGCAGCTCCTTCTTCCTTCGTGGCCTCTGAGGTGGTGACAAGTATTCACTGGGCACCAGCACTTTGGAGGCCAAGGCTTGCCTGTCTTCCTGTTGTGGTGGTCACTGGGAGTAGAGCAGTGAGGCTTCTAGCCACACCCGAAGATGCCTCCTACCAGAAGCTTCCACAACTCCTCCCAAGCAGGCGGAATCTGAGCCTCCTTCTCTGCAGATCCACAGCCCTCACTCATGGGCTATGGTCTGCGGAGGGAGGCTGTGTAGGTCTGTTAACCTTGCCAGCCTGTCAGGACTAGATTCTCTGCCACTCCGGTTCTCCCCTCCTGACTGAGCGCCTGGCACAAAGTAGCGATCCCCTGGTCAGGGGAGGCAGTTCAAGCAGCCCCTTGGGCGAGCTGCTCAACCTCTGTACCTCTGGTCCCTTCCCTGTAAAACGGGGCTGATAATAACAGTGTTGGGGGGGGTTGCTAAATGAGATGACAGAAGGGAGGCGCCTGGCCAGGCCTGGCACAC